GAGTGCCACTGCAATACTAATTATAACAAATAATTGTCTTAAACTGGCGTATAAATTAAGTCACTGTGATTAAGTTCATAACTCCTTAACTTCTTGTTACATTTAACTCACCGTAATCAGCTTTAATATTAAAATCGATCGTGACCTCCTCTCGCAATCGACACATGAAAAATTAATCGCGCTAGTTGCATCGAAGGCTGACCACTTTCGCACGGACCTCGTCGATGCACTGATAGCCTGATCACTTGAATGATCGCCATGTTTTTAATTATGAACCTTCGCATTGAAGATGATTAACAAGTCGTATGAAGTCACCAGACCACCATGAACCTTGCGTTATTTTGCCTTTATTTTTGTATGATATTGTAAACTTTAAATTAATATAATTTAAGTTAATAATGGTTGTAGCACGAATGAGTTGTTTCGACTTCGGGAAGGACCATCCTCTCACAGAATACCAGCGTAAAATAGCAGTTTAATGCTGTTGTGTTTCGTATGGTGACTGTAGAGAAACGGATACGCTTTTTACTGGAAATTGGATATTCCATCTTAGTCCTCAGGGGTAATAACGCATCTGTGTTTTGATTCTAAATCGAGGATAGATGCAGATGTCATTGGACCACAGCATCCACTTAAAATCAAGTGCAGCATGTATAAGCTGCTATTTATGCTGGTATTTTGTAAGAACGTAGTACTACTCGAGCCGACCCATTCGTGCTACAACTATAATATAGCTGCCGCGTGTCTCTACCGCGTACCTAGTGTAATTATGTCTAAACTTGGATAGGTTTGAGACCTAACTATTGTTTTTAAGCAAAATAGGTTAACTAGAAGGGCGTAGGTCACAAGGCGTTGTAATGGCTCGTGAAAGTCTGGTCCCTGTGGGAACTCTATAACCCGAATGACCACGAATTATTAACTATAAAATAGTGTTGGCAATGTGTGTATTGTAAAAAAATAGCGTCCATTTTGTAGTTCATTACTAACTTAAGTAATAAAAAATTAATGTTTAGTGGGTATTTTTTACAGTATGGTGTCTCATTCGTGTATAACACCAGACTGTCGTTGACCGTCACATGAATACCAATATAATTAAAAGTTTTTTTTTTAAAAAAAACCGGGTGTATATTGATCAAAAGATATATAATGCGTATTACTTCGCTGTTCGTTGAATAGTGTTAAATCCTTATTCAGCATTATGTTGTAAAACAGCATTTTTTAATTTCGTAGGTAGGTAATAGGTATACCTACTTACCTATATCTGTGGTCCCTACACTAAGTTCCGATATGTAGAGAATAGAAAGCAAACTATTGGTCAGACCTTGATGAAACACACATAAAAAACATACAGTCGATTTGAGTACCGTCACCTTTTTGAAGTCGGTAGAAAAGAGTGAAAAGGAGGCAATGGTTGTTGCTGTGTGTTTTATTACTTAATTTTTTTAAGACATGTTATTCCTGCACTAGAATTTTCTCTTGCATCGTGAACGCGTTTTAGATACATATGATGATGATACTCAAATACGTATGCTTTATTTAAAGTCTATCTCTTAGAATTACTTACATAAAGGTATCTAATGCAAAAAAACAGCATTCTCATTCCACGCCAGCGCAGCCTCGCCGCTCCTTAGCAATATGATCAGTTCAATAAACCTAATCATGATAGTGCGTGTACAATTTCACGGTACACTACGTCTATTGTCCACTCGCCTAAATATGTAACATGTAATGTACTAAAAGGTCAGCGGACTCATAAATGTCATCGATTTTGAAATTAAACTACTTAGTGTAGAATTTCATAAATAATATCCATAATGTTAACAAGCGCAATAAATCATTATTGGTATAACATCCCATGTTGTATAATTGATCTGCTTTTGCAAAATTTCAAAACGTATGTACCTATTAAACATTCTTATAAAGAAAAGATTTTTAATTAGACGACTATTTAACCCGTTGCCTGTCACCTGCATTAGGTACATGTAATTATTATTAATTGCTATTGTCTTACTAATTGTGTCTGCAAACTAGTATTAAAAAATACGTGGGCATAAAGAGCTTCCTTTTTTTACTCACGTATATATTTCATAAAGTAAAATTTTAAGTGTCTTAAGCTATAAAAAACTAACTCGTGACTTTCTTGTCACTTCTTATTACCCCTAATTACTTAACTTAAAAAAACTGCTTTGTAGATGTTAAAAATCAATTAGCTGAGATCTGCGTAACAAAATAAAATCATGTGTCTGTCTTACTAGTCCAGGAGGAATAGGCGCATAAGTATCGAGTACCTCAATTTTTTTATGCGATTCTCTTCAAATTGTCCTACTGATGATATAAATGCATGTTGCCATGAGCCAACTCGGCGCTATATTGTTTAAACCGATTTTTTTTTCAATTGCAAGGAATTGTTATTATTTTTATATTTTTTGATGAAACACGAATAAAAAAGGTCCTATGGCGTTTTAAGATAAAGTTAATATTTTCAGTTTTAAATGTTTGAAAAATCAGAAGTTTAGATACTTTTGACTCATTAAAAATATCTGAAGAAAAAGAATAAAATGTAATTTCCTTTTTATATTTTTTGATGAAATACAAATAAAAAAGGTCATATGACTTTTCTGCCGACTTCCAAAAAGGAGACGGTACTCAATTCGACTGTATGTTTTTTTATGTGTGTTACCTCGTAACTTTTTACTGGGTGAACCGATTTCTATGATACTTTTTTTATTTGAAAGCTGATACTTCTCGTGTGGTCCCATATGAATTTGATCAAGGTCAGACCAATAGTTTCTGAGTTATTCTTAATAACTTATATTGAGGTCGGGTGTACAAAATTTTTAATTTTAAATTATTACGATAAAGTTAATACCTAGTTTGAAGAGTTATTTTACTACGCGGATCTTAGTTAATCAATTTTTAACATCCTAATCCACATTTCCGCAAAGTAACGCCTGATTACTAATGACTAACACTCATATTTCATGTTTCCCTTATCCGTAAACTTTTAGTTTTCATCATACATTTTTACAATCAACACTTAAAAGTTAAAATATTAAATTATAAATACCACTATGGTCACACTAGATCATGAGTTGTGCTACACATCAAAGTAAACATCTTTTCAATCTCCCTACACTCGGAGGGGTTTAGGTCCAGCGGTGGACTTTATGGGGGCGATAAAGAGCAAATAAATAGCTATTTAATGATTAACAATCAATATTTTAGACTGTTTCTCTTTCTTACGTTGACATTTTATGAAAATACATTATTTATTTTGTTGGGAATTGCAAAAGCTTGCACTTATGACCATTATTATGTGCTCCTAATTTATAACATTTTCAAAAATTCCTTCCTTCGTTTGCAATAAGTAGTATGTGGTTCACACCTTTAAAGTACACTTTATAATTATAAATCAAATAATCAAAATCTATTTAATTACTAGCACCGACAAGGTTACACCTATTTTCATTTATTATGTCTTTTTTTTTGATATTTCTAAGTTTTTCGAATAAGATATAGCCTAGATCCCTCTTGTCAGTGGCCTCAATCTGTTCGTAAAGTTCCATCACAATCAGTTTAGTAATTACGAAGATTAGCCCGGACAGACAGGCGGACAGACAAAATTTTGTAAATTAGTTGTTTATGTCTGAATAGCATGCAAATAACCCCCCGAGCTAAATAGAATTTATATCAATATTACAGACGGACACTTCAATTTTATTTATATGTTAAATGTATGGATTAGTTGTTGTACAAACAGTTACTAATTCACCATACTAAATCAACACGTTATTACATTTTCTACTACTATTAAAAATTAAAAGTCCTTATAAATCAGAAATTCTTAGCAAATATAAAATTGTACATTTGACATTCTTATGTTGTTCTTGTCTTTGATTGCCTTTTTTAGATTTACTCTACATTCATCGAAGCCGAGCAAAGCAGTCGGTAACCGTTTGAGTTATAGTTAATTGAGCGATTTAACGGAGGCTGGTTGATCAATGTGTAAAGCTACTTGAATTGTAATGCTTTAGATACTTTAGAATAACCGACGCTATTAAATCAACCAACAATCTAAGAAACCGTACTTTAATTTTTTTTTAAATTCAATAATGCTTATATTAGATTTAACCACGCCTGGTAAATTTAAAGTGCTTGTGGTACACGCCAGTAGTCGAATAGCGAATTCGAATGCTCGATTTATTGAGTACGCGGTTCGCACCCTGATATTAGGTTACTATCGACTTTAAATCAAATTAATAAAAAAATATGAATACAGCGATAATGTAAGTCGACGAAACACTTTTTAAATTGAAAACTTTTGAATGGGATAGCTTGAGAAAAACCTAGAACAATACAATATAAAATTTATATAAAAACAAGCTTTATAAGCATTTCCAGGACCAACATCCCGCTCTATCATCAGATCAGCTCTATGATACTATATTATATCATTACAATGGAAGTTACATAAGTATAGTAAATTTCAACTCAAGCGGATGTCAGCAAGTGCTTCATAAATTCAATACAAATTTTGCGCCGGAGAGACATACAAAGAATGAAATGAAATGAAACGATAAATAATATAAACGAAATATAAAGATAACGGACGGACGAATATACGGATACATTATACGGCCATCTATTTGAAAGCCATAAGATATTTCTAGCATTTTCTATTGACGACTTGCTGTTCCCCGGGACGAAATAGGGTAATGATTTGAGTGTTTCTTACCGCTTTTACGCACAAGGTCTCCCTCGACGCAGTAGGGACTTATTGAAGTGATGGCGTAGACGTAGAGATTCACTTTAAAAAAAAAGAGTTTGTAAAAGCCAATTTTTATTAAAAATATTAGACTTTAACTTTCACTATTCTTTGATTCTCCTAGGCCGCCAACACACTCTAATATTAAACAAAATATTGTATTTAAAGCCTCATTTTTTCTAATGTTTAATAATTGTAAAGCAATTGTAAAGAAATTGTAATTTTCCTTGTCTAGGCACAACGTATCTGACGGGAGAGAATTTTCTGGACGTTCTGGACAATGGCGCGGAGCTGTGCCAGTTGGCGGCTGTCATTCACGATCGAGCCAGAGAGGCACTCGACCAGGGACTTATTGTTGGGGTGAGTATTAATTACTCGATTTTGTCGAAAACAATAATTTGTATCTATTTTTTTAAGATCGCGTGGTTGAGTATAGTTAGTATGTCTTGTTTTCTAGTCGCGAGCTTTTTTTTAGGTTTATCAATAATTGCTAACACTAACACATCATATTATACAATTAGTAAAAGTAATAATAAAAGTGCTAGAATTACAGAAAGGCAAACACCCCATGCATATAACCAATAGAATAGAATAGAGTTATTTTTATTCAATATAGATTACAGCAATACTTATTGAATTTCATTTAAGCTTTAACAACGGTTCGGAAGAAAGACCTCTATCCTGGGAAGAACCAGCAAGAAACTCAGCGGGACAACATTCAGAAACAGCATCGCCACATTCCCACACATTTTTACATATTATATTATAAATATATATCATATATATTTCCCAACATATTTAGTAGTCAAATAACCAATAATAATTTGCTTAATAAAAATTTTAAACTTTTTGATAATAAGGCCTCCATATTTTATGGGGCTCCATATAAAAGCGTATACGATTACATTGCCGCGTAAAGGAATCTTTGGGTCGAGTAACTGGTATAAATAACTTGTGCTTGTTCCTAGTATTTACAGAATGTACATCACTATTTTTAATTTAACTATTGTTCAATAGTATTAATTAATGTATACTGAAAGAACAAGATTTGAAACGAGTCCTTGATTCGAATCGCAAACAAATCTTCGTGTTAAAACATTAAATTTCTGAAATAGATACCTACCTATTGTTTATTTTAATACGGTTTTATTATCTTGACCTGTATATGAATCTAATGGGAATTTTGTATACCAATTACAGAGAATAGATTTCTGAATAATCGGTGTTAAAATACATTTGTAAAATTTCTCAAATTATTTAATTTAAGAATAATATGTAGTGTTCTTAATAGAAAAATCAAATCTAATGATCAATGTTGTCGTTGAAAAAACTTTTTAGTAACTTAATTCATATAATTTAATCAATATATAAATAATATACACTACATTATTTCATTCAGCGCCATAAGAGAATATATTACTCCATATAATGATGAAATAGTTATATAATATAGGGCGGGTCGCTAATATGTAGTTTTATCTTTATGAAAATTACTTTATCAACCTGCTAATAATACGACAAAGATTCAAGAATTTCTCACAAGCAAACTATAAATGTACAAAGAATTGTGTCTAAAAGCGTCATAGATTCCAGTGCACAATTAGCTGCCCGATGCTTCAGCCTGTATCGACACCATAAATAGAGTCGTGCTCTTGCGCGACTCCACCTGGAGAACCGCCAGTATTCCGTTTACGCCCCTTGATTTACTTTCGTATTGTTTGCGTTGTCAGCCCACTGACAGGATATTTTATGCACCACTAAACTACTTTGAACGTGCACATCTGTAAAGTATATAATTTCGGTCTCTAGTTAGTTATAGTTATTTTAAACTACGACCTACGACATGATGTTTTTGTCAAGCTTCGTCACATTTAAAGTGTTATATTTATTAAATTTAAATTTAAACTTAATTTTATATCTGCACAAATATGAATACTGCTTACAAAAGTGTCAGTGTCGTGCTAAGGTGTCGTATAAAACTCGTTTTAAACTTGGTAGAGCCATGCTGCAGCTGTATTAATTGTATAGTTGTAGCATGAATGGGTCGGCTCAACCGGGAAAGGACCACGCTCTTACAGAATACTAGAGTAAAATAGCAGCTTAACGCTGCTGTGTTTCGTATGGTGAGTGTAGAGAACCTGAGACCCTTTTTACTGGAAAATAGGCATTCCATCTTAGTCCTCACGAGTGACAACGTACCTGCATTTTGATTCGCAAACAAGGATAGATATAGATGTCTATGGGCCGCAACAACTACTTACTATCAGGTGGAATTTATGCTCGTTTGTCATCGTTCCATATAGTATATTAATATATTTATTTCTGGCAAATAAGTTCATTGTCTTTCTCATACAACTAAAATAGCTATCTAAGATTCAGTTTTAAACTTGAAAGTGTTTCTGACTCAATAACCAATAATTTGTATTTTTGTAAAAATTTGTTTTGTATAAAATTGTTGTTTGACTGACATTCGAACTCGGGACATAATGGCCAGATACTCTGATCTCTGGCCCAGTGGCGTAATAGAGGAGGGGGGACATTTTGGGGAAGAAAACAACCTCATTTTTCTCAACTGAAAATAAGAAAATATTTATTACTGAAGACCTTAAATAACTTTCAATACTATAGGGCTAAAGCACAGGGAGTTCTGAAATTAGAGATAATATTCACACACACACTTGACTAGAATAGGGATAACGATATGTAAAAAAAATACATATATTGTTCTACTATATGGGTATTTTCCGTACCAATGGTAAATTAAACATAAAACGCCTTTCAAGAAGTATTATTTATAATGTATATTGAATTCAAATAAACGTTCGTATTTCACTTTAGTTTTCTAAGAGAATACCTATATAAATTAACTAAACATCCCACTTGTGGGCAGCCGGTGCCGCAGATCCACGGGCGGTGCTGGCAACGTGCGGCACGAAGAAGCTTTTTCTCGCGGGACAACACCGAAAACTTCCTGACATTCTGCCGGGAGCTCGGCGTGCACGAGAACCTGCTATTTGAAAGCGACGACCTAGGTAGTGTATTCTTCTCCTGTTTTTCCTTCGTTACTCATTCCTTGTAGCGGCAGTGTGACAATATCCAGCACCATATTTCATCCTAAGGGGATTCGTAAGAGCAGAGGGAACCTGCAGCAGTTTTTTTAATATAAAATAAGGGTAACAAACAAGCACACAGGCCACCTGATGGTAAGTGGATACTGTGGCCCATAGACATTACGATTTATCCTCGATTAAGAATCAAAATTGTGATGGGTTGTCACTCCTGACTAGCCGTCAGGAGTGACAACCCATATACGACACGGAATATTTTAATAAAATAGCTATAATTTGCATTAAGATAAATATCTCATACGCTAAATTCTGTCGCATTAAATTCATTCTAAAACGCTGCGGCTATATTATGATTGTAGCACAAATGGTGTCGACTCGACAGAGAAGTACCACGCTCTCATATAGTACCAGTGTAAAATATCAGCTTAATGCTGCTGTGTGTTTGGTATAATGAGCACAGAGAACCGGAGACTGTGTGAAATTAACCACATTTCTTTTCAAACTTTAAAATTATAAAGTGCGAATATAACAAATAATTGATAAAATTGATCATCATCATCATTACAGCCCTTCACAAGTCCACTGCTGAACATAAGCCTCGCCCAAGGAATGCCACAAAGCACGGTATTGAACCACCTGTATACATCGACTTCCTGTATATCTTACCAGGTCGTCACTCCATCTAGTGGGGGTCGCCCTACACTTCGCCTGCCGGTACGAGGCCGCCACTCGAGAACCTTTTTTCCCCATCGGTTGTCGGTTCATCGGGCTATATTACTATTCCGTTGGGCTATGTGGGTTTTAAGGTGCTGGAGAGCCATTCTAATCTCGCTCAGACTGACATTCGGGATATCATCGGAATAGTGTCGGATAAGACTCACTCTTGGATCTTTACTCACACTTGCGTGTGGCTCCAACGATGACGTGTACAGCTGCCCATAGAACCCCTCAATCTCACTCAAAATCTCAGGTGTACCGGAAACGATGCTGCAACACTCGCCATTTTGCCATAGTTGCCATGCTTGGCAAGCGGGTTGGCAACCGCAGTTTTTTTATTCTAATATTGCAGTTTTGAGGAAGATGCCTGTTTCCCACTGTCGCCTCTTACGACACCCACGGGAAGATATGGGGTAGTGGATGTTCTTAACTACCACTACACGGCCGTTATTATTTAACTACATTTATATAATAACGGCCGTGTAATGGTCGTGTAGTAAATATGTAATTATATAACTATATTTTCTCCGTTCATTTCTGCTTTCAGTTCTCCACAACCAGCCTCGTCAGGTGATCCTTTGCCTTCTGGAAGTAGCACGTCTCGCCACCAAGTTCAATGTGGAGCCTCCAGGACTCGTGCAGCTCGAAAAGGAGATCGCTATGGAGGAGCGTGACTCGGGACTCGACTCTGCGATGTCCGGCGCCGCGTGGCAGTTCAGAGACGTGTCACCGGCTCCTGATAATGATAAGTTAGTATACTATATAATGATTAATTTGCATGATTTTGTATATTTGTTGTGGGCCAAATGATTAATCAAGGCACATTTATAATGCCTGCTCAATATGAATAATGACAAGTCAATCTGGGCCACGTAATTAATACTGATTTAAACTTCACTATTTGTCATACTGTCTGGTCGTAACCTAACCTATCTATTTATTATATCTGCTCAATAAGTAACGGACTTTATTCATAAAGCCCGGTCAATTTATTTACTTCAATAGTTCTTATCATTTTGTTTACTCATATTGGACATTTTTCAAACTGTCTAGACATTATGAATATTGCCCTATTAATTCACTTGGTCCTTTGCCGTTTTTTTCCAATATTACACATTGACTACCCCGTCAGGGATTGTGCGTGAAGATAAGTAAGTATTACACATTGGCCAAAACTAATTTTACGGATGTATGGATCATGTAGATATATTTTTTTTTCCAAAATTACTTTGTTAATTTTCTTATACTAAGATATCTCTTAGATCTTTATTAAACTAATAGTTAAAAGAACTGCCTGCGATACAAAATACATAAACAAATTTTGGATTTAATTAACTTAGTCCCTCGTTGCTGACGCTTTCTAACGAACTAACAAACCGAGTTTTAAAAAGGGGCAGTTTTATTAACAGTTATGTGTATGAGATATTGTAATTTACTATTAAATATATTTCTGAAACCGTCATTACAGGTGTTGCAATGCAATCGAAACCTGGTAAATTTATTAAATGATGAATTATGTAGAATTTCGTTTTATTCAATTTTGTCTAAATTTTAAATTGGCAGTTTACGTACATCAATCCTAAAAAAAAATAGACAAACAATGAATAATGCAATTTAACTAAAAAATATTATTACTAACGTAATAATAGTGATGTCCTCCAGACCCATTTTCGGTCACGGTCACTGCGGCCAGCCTCAACGGAGATTAGCCTGCGAGATCTGCGCAGGACAGGGTTGTAGTGGACTAGTGTATGCGCAAGCACAAGTGCACTCTCTGTTACTAACGTAATAAATAATTCACTTTCTTGATACCTTTCACGCTGCATAGAAAGGACAACAGCAGCAAGGACACTTTCAAAGCTAAAATCGAAGAAAAGTAAGTTAATACCTTGATACTCAAGTAGGTACATCTAGATTGTTTCAAGCAGCTATGCGAAAAAGGGGTGCATCTTTCGTGCGCAGGGTCAGGGTGAGCCTCAACAGCATTCTTAAAATGATAGCTGTCCTTTTAAGCTATTAATTTGGAATTATGAATGTTCCCTCTCTTCAACATTATAAATTATAAATTACAAATGACTATCGGCTAATTGACTGCTGGATTATTACGTATTTAAATAAATTAATAATAATAATATATTTTATTTACTCTCACAATTTAAGTCAACAAGGTTGAGTATAAACAACGTACACTATGGGCTGAGAGTCTGGTGTCTGTACTGGGCGGAAGCCTGTGTTACGGATCACCAGGGTCTCCCCCTCAGGATACTATCAACATAACTTAACATACTATATAAATAAATGATAATAAAATATTTAATATGATTTTATGTGTATAGTACTATTAAAATTATAAATATGTATTAAAATAATTATAATTTTAATAATAGTGAGTAATAATAGAAAAAACATCATGAACATAAAATATGTTGTTATAGATATGTATTGCAAAATTAGAGTGAACTAATTGATGAATTATAATAAGCATCACTTGTCTTTGAGAGCACAGAGCAAATATCGGTGATCTGCGTGCGCTTCGTTCATAGTGGTTAAAACTTTTACAGAAGAATAGTTCGACTAACTTAAACATGTCTTTCCAGATCTACAACACAACCCTCACCATTATCTCCGGAACCCAATGATCGTGAGTATCTATTTACGCATTTAATTAACAGTTCTTTTTCACTTTTACGTGGTACGTTACGGTTACGTTACCAAGCTGTAGCTATATTAATAGTATATAGCACGAATGGTTGGTTGACCGGTGAAGCACCACGCTTTCACAGAATACCAACATAAAATAGCAACTTAACGTTGCTGTGTTTCGTATGGTGGGTGTAGAGAACCGGACACCCTTTTTTACTGGCAACGAGGCATTCCATCTTAGTCCTCACGAGTGACAACGCAACTGCATTTTAATTCGTTATCGAGGATAGATGTAGATGTCTATGGGCCATAGCAACCACTTACCATTAGGTGGACTGTGTGCTCGTTTATAACCCTTATCCTATATGAAAAAAGCCTGCCCATTAAAGTCCACTGCTGGATGTGGGTTTCTGCCGTTGTATGGAAAATTTGACTTAACCGTCACGCTTGGCAGGTGAATTAACAATCCCAGTACCAGACGTAATCACCTTTAATGCTGCACCCTGTCACCATCCGTCCATCCATTCATTACAGCCTGTTCCAAAGCCAAGTCCGCTACTAAATAGGCCTTCCCCATAGTTTGCCTCATAGGGAGAATATTTTCCGTCTGCCTTAAACGAGTTGGTTATACACACACACGCAAAGCTGTTAGTCTTGCGCCCGATCTCACTCCGGTCGTGTCGATTTACCGCCCCATCGGACTATGAGAGTGAGGGAACAGAGAGTGCACCTGTGCTTGCACATACACTTGGGCACTATAATCCTGTCCTGCGCCGATGGCTGGTATCCGTTGAGGCTGGCCGCCGTGACAGAATTGGGTCTGGAGGACATTATTATTATATTTGTATCTCGCCGACATATTGAATGATGTATATGTACAGTTTCGTGGTCACTTAGAAAGGCTAAAATGGCCTCTTGCTTTTTATTGAAAAAAGCTTGGCGTACTCAGCAGAGCGAGACAATATTTCATGCCGGCACACTGCCTGCAACTTCATAATGCGCACGTTTGTCCTCACATAGAATTCTGTTGTACTCATCTCTGGACCGGAGCTACTCAGTGCCAACTCCTTTCACTCGATCGCATCCAGTAAAGAGCGACACAAGTGATCGGTCCGATTCACTTGCGCTGCAAAGAGATGTTCCTTCCCCTTGCATTTTCCGTCGTATTTACCACGGGGAGTGCTCTGAGGAATTGTTCGGATTAATTCCAGTCGCCAAATTCCACCACTGTACATCGCGACATAACTCACGATATCATCCACTTCATCTGGATCGCGGAAATCATTCCTAAAGAGGGTGATGGAATTTACTATGAAAGTGCGATTACTGATGTATCACCTATGGTTTAAAGTATAATATCTACGTGGACGAAGTCGCAGGCAAAAACTAGTATTAATTAAAATTGTACTTCCACAGCACAACTAGTTCCCGACAACACAGATGCAGAAAGTACAAAATCCGAGGGTACGGTGAGCAGCACAGATTCTGATGTTCCGCTCAAACCTACCAACGAGTTGGATAAGAGAGTAAGTTGTGTTAGAATGTTTACTTCATTTGCTTAATTAAGTACTTCTTTATAACGCTTTAAAGACGATGATAATATTGGGTATTAATTAAAGAAAAATCAATGTGGGTATCTTCAAGGCAAGACTGAATGGGCTTTTGTTGCGTTTCAACATCCTCGGCTTTAACAACACTTACCATCAGGTGGGATTGTAGCTAAGCGTTGGCTAAGAATGGTTAAAAAAAGAAAAACCTGCTGATTGGTTAGAGTATGCCGGACAGAGGTGGACGTATTTCAGTAGAATAGAATATCCAACATATATTTCACAGCACATTATTATGTAAACAATTAGAAAAAAAAATTAGCTTTTAGATTTTCATCAATATTTTATTTATTATACAAAACATTATTATAAAACATTGATAAAAATCTTATCATCATCATCATCATTACAGCCCTTCACAAGTCCACTGCTGAACATAGGCCTCCCCCAAAGAATGCCACAAAGCACAGTCCCGAGCCACCTGCATCCATTGACTTTCTGCATGTCTTCGTAATAGACTAGTATATAGTCTAGTATATCTGTTACTAACTACAATGTACTTCACTAGGTGGTAAGGCCGCAAACAGCAGTCATTTTTGCGCCTTGTTTAGTGCTATTATTTATTCTGCGGTTTCAGTTTGATGGGTACCTTAATACATATGGGATACACAGGCGGCGTATCAGGAATGGGGCATGGCTCCTTACGACCGATTTCATCATGCACCTTGTACCATTATGAAAAAGAAAAGTTAGCTCCCTACTTTTTATGTGATACGAGTAAAATATCGTAGGATCACGTTCTCACAGAATACCAGCAAGAAATAACAGATTTACGCTGCTGTGTTTCGTATGGTGAGTGTAGAGAACCGAATACCCTTTTTACTGGAAAAGAGGCATTCCATCTTAGTCCTCACGGGTTACACGCATCTGCATTTTGATTCGTAATCAAGGATTGATGTAGATGTCTATATGGGCCACAGGAACCACTTACCATCAATTGTTCTGTGTAATGTAAAATTCTTACAGAATACATTCGATTAAAATGAAACTTTCAACAAAAATTAAAAGCCGACTTCGAAGAAACATAAAGAATAGGGTAATTTCCACATAGATTCAGAAGTCGGTGCTGAGACATCGCGTATTGAATTTAAACCCTGATTTCAGAAGTTATTTCATTCGTAATTTATGCATAAATTATACAGAAAGACAAAGATTCAGAAGAAATCATGAAGAAACTTACTTATGCAGAAATCATTATACTCATTTTTAATTATAGACTACGGTGGAATGCATCTTTTTCAGTAAAAAGGGGTCTCCGGTTCTCTACACTCACCATAAGAAACACAGCAGCATTATGCTGCTAATTTACGCTGGTATCCTGTGAGAGCATGGTCATTCCCCGGTCGAGCCGACCCATTCGTGACTATATAATATGGCTGCAGCATGGCTCTACCACGTACAACGTCTTTATCATTCCAGCCTTTTCCTCGCTCAAACATACTTAGCGACTTCTTTCTAGAAGACAAGTTTTGTCCTCATCAATCTCGCGCTCGTTACTCACACGAATTTTCAAGCCCCGCTCTTCTTAGTTAAAAACTAATAGTACTTTCCGCTTAATACACTAACGAGAACGACAGCTAAAGTTATTACACATTGATCGTTACCTCATGTGCAAACAATCAAGGAATCTAAACACTTTTATATCATTATGCGAAGGTGTCTGTAGAGAGTAAATTTTAGTAACATAAATTGATTATTTGAAACTATTGATAAAACAGATTGTGCATGCCCTAAGCGCATTAAAAAAATACGTATAACATGATTATAGGGATTTTTTTAAAAGTAGTTTAAATACATACAAGTTTTCACTAATAACCTTATTACATATATACTTATTATATATAGGCTTATAATACTTCCAATTTTCATTCCATTTAATTTAATTTAGTCATAAAGTCCAAGGCGTATTTAAATATACGTAAACATATACATCCTACTTACTTTTAGTACATACTACTATTATTTATTCTGTACTTTTAAAATATTGTAATAAAAATCTCTGATGATTATAATAATGAAGTATGTATGAAATTTGGTTTTTGGAATATTTTGTATTTGTACAGGGATCTTTTTGAGCCGCTGCAAACAACCAATACAATATATAACTAAACAATATATACTCACGACGGCGGTTGACACCTAACTAAGTGAGGCAGTCAGACTGCCGCAGTCTATTTACAAAAAATAAATAAATTAAGGCTGCTAAAACACGTAAAATTTCGACATTTCGTAGCCCAAAAAATAAATTATAACTAAACAAAACTAAAATGGTGGGGGGTGATTACATGAATTTATTTCATTTTTCAATGTAACTTAAGCGTGAATATTATACATTGAATACAAGAAATTTCAGAAAAAATTACAATAAAAAACTGCGGTTGCCAACCCGCTCGCCAAGCGTGGCAACTATGGCAATATACCCCCCATGAGCAATGACAATAAAAATCTTATAATATGTATTTATTATATAATATAGATTTTAAAGAAAACTCAAAAAAACAAAAATAAATAGTAGACGTGGTAGCTCTTGTTCGATTCAGTCCAGCATCCAACAAATAATATTTCAAAGAGAGTAGACATAGGAATTGAATTTAGACAGTACGGCGGACTCATAGATGGTTTAAGAAATGAGAATGGGGAGCGCTATGTTCAGCTGGGTCTTGTGAAAGGCTGGGCTGTCTCATAGAAAAGTTTAAAGAAATCAATATATTAAGTTTGGCCTCTTCGTATATTTACGAAAATATAATGTATGTTCACACAAACAAAAGTGATATTATACATTCTGTAAACACTAGAAATAAACACAAGCTAGTGATACCAGTTTCTCGACTCTGTATGTATGTATATACTATTACAACAAAGTCCCAGAAAATATACTAAGTCTATTACCAACTTTAAATATTTTACTAAGCAAAAACTGTATAAAAAGGGTTAGATATATAATACATAAACGAATACATGGTTGATAAAAACCCTGGGGATGAGGTGGTCGCTTCCAAGCTGTTTCTAAAATAAATAGGCTAAATGTTTACACAACCTTTCTTATTGTATAATTTACTTTGAAAAAAGGCCCGCTGTGTTTCTTGCTGGTATGTCCCAGGACAGAGGTTTTTTTCCGAACCAATGTTAAATGTAAAAAATTACTTTCAATAAGAATTACTTGTAATCTATATTCAATAAAAAATATTGTGTAATGGCGATGATGATGATTATGTTGATGATTGACAGGTGCAGCTGGTGACACGGCTGATGGAGCGTGGCTGCAGTTGCACTTCCGAGCGCTGCTCGCGGCTGCTAAAGGTGAAGAAGGTGGGCGAGGGCCGCTACAACATCGCCGGCAGGAATGTCTTCATCAGGGTTAGTACTTTGGACCTCATAAGCATAGCATTACTATAAGAATATTATAAAAGTTTCATTACAACAAATTCAGTAATTCCCAGGATTAGAGCGGACAGACAGACACAGACAAAAGCGTAAAAAAATGATTACATGACCTAATAGCACGCAAATAAACCCCTGAGCTTAATAGAAGCCATTTATTTCAATATTATGCAGACAGACAATTCAATTTTATTTATGTGCAATGCAATTTTTTTCCAGCTGTTAAAGGGTCGGCACATGATGGTGCGCGTGGGCGGCGGCTGGGACACGCTGGAGCACTTCCTGTCGCGCCACGAACCGTGCCAGGTGCGCCTCGTGACGCAGGGCCGTCGCAACATCCTGCCAATCGCCACTTCGCAGTCGCCACAGCCAGATATGCCGCAACCATCGCAATCGCCACAACCACCGCTCTCCTCAGACGAGCTAGACGCCGCCAAACACTCACCAATCCCACGCAAACCCACCATCTCCCCCGCCAGCAGTAAAACCTCGATTACAAGCAAAGAACTCCTCTCAGGCACTGTATCACCCGTAGACAGTAAAGCTTCATCTGTTAGCGGTAAATCTTCTCCAACAGACAAAGGAAGAGCCGGCAAAAGTACTAAAACGGAGCTCGAGGTTCGAAGAACTTCCACACCTAATAAATCGCGAAACCTACGGTCCACTTTGACTTTGCCGCTTAAAGCGGACTCTACGGTAGAGCAGAAATCTTCTGCGCAGCGCACTAGAAAACAATCAGCACCTTCCAGCTTTAGCACACCCAACACGCCAACTGGTAGATCGACACGAACGCCACCTGTAGAACTAAAAAAGTCTCTCACTTCCAACACTTTGCTTAACGCTCCAAAGAAATCTAGAAGTATGAGCTTGGGTGTCGTACAGAAGGAAGAGAAGAAACCATTCTGCGGGACGGATAGATTGAACCAAGATAAAAAGAACCAAATTAGTAGAAGCAGTAGCGGCACTCCCACTAAAACTCTTGCCGCTCGAAAGACTCGTAGCCAGAGCTTGGCTTCCACTCCGATCAATGAGCCCAAGAAATCCTTTAGCGGAACGAACGGGTACTCGAAGAAGACAAGAAGCATGAGCCTAGCAACACCAGTAGACTTTAATAAACCTCTCATTAAAAGCGTTTCGCTGTCCACAAATGGACCCATGACGCAGGCAGCCATAGAAGAAAGCATCAGACAGTCGCTGGCCGCGTCAATCGCTGACAATAATTGCCCCAAAAAACCCTTTTTACACATTAAAGCCAAATACAGAAGTCCACCGCCGAGGGAAGTTCCCCCGAGATAATCTAACAGCTTCTTGACTCCCCATTCCATTAGTTTTATACTTTGACATAAGGAAAACCAACACATGTCTCTGTGGACTATGTCAGCGGTTTTTTGACGCTGAGAGGTGTTATTTAAAGAGTTCAACTTAATTTCGCGAGCTACAATTAACTTATAAGCATTAATTAGATCTCCTAAGTAATCTCATTTGTTTAACCATTTAGCTATAAGTTCGAAATAAATCACGTTTATTCACTCGAAGGAGACTAGTCATAATGAGTTTGTTTTATAATGATTAATAATAGTTGTATCGATAATTAATTATAATAATGTAATTAAATTATCACTTTATATCTGCAATAATAATTCCGATTTAATTTTAATTTATAAATATTTTTATTCATCATTGTTTTAAAAATTACATTTACTTAAGTTTTATTTTAGGTTTTGTTGAGATATTTTAAAGCGCCATAATTACGTGCCGCGCTTTTTCGGATTTCGTAATAAAATATTTTGAGTTTTATTTTCATTTTTTATTTTCATTTACAATTTTATCTATGAGTTGATCTAAACACATACAATGCACAAATTTTTTATACATTCAGCAAGCTTTACTCTCAATCCTTAGCATTATTGAGCGTTATAATGTACCTAGCATGTATTAACTGATTACAATTTAGTTGAGTTATTTTAAGGGTTGGTGCTCCACTAAATAGATGGCCGGTTTACATTATTTTAGTGTTTTGAGAGAAATGGAAAATAGAATAGTAACATACGAATATATTTGATTTTAATAAAAAGGCGAGAATCGTAAGTACATAATAATAATGTCCTCCAGACCGAATTTCAGTCACGGCAGCCAGTCTCAATAGAGGCTAGCCATCTCCGCAGGACAGGATAAAAGTGCACGAGTGTATGCGCAAGCACAGGTGATCTCTCTAGTCTTTTTTTTATAGAATAAGGGTGACAAACGAGCACACAGTCCACCTGATGGTCAGTGGTTGATGTGGCCCATAGACATCTGCATCTATTTTCGTTTGCGAATTAAAATGCAGATGCGTTGTCAACCGTGAGGACTAAGATAGAATGCCTCTTTTCCAGTAAAAAGGGTCTCCGGTTCTCTACACTCACCATACGAAACACAGAAGCATTAAGCTGCTATTTTACGCTGGTATTCTGTGAGAGCGTGGTCCTTCCCCGTTCGAGCCGACCCATTCGTGCTACAAATATACTATTAATATAGCTGCAGCATGGCTCTACCACGTTAAACGAGTCTAGTAGTCGGATGGGACGGCAAGTCGACGCGACCGGAGAGAGATCATTAGCTACAACGTTACGTGTTTCCGAGGCATGGGGGTGAGACATCGCCAATTTCCTGACTGCGGGCAGCTACTGAGAATTTGTTGACAGGAACACTCAATGACTGATACTGTCCCGATCCCGGATTCGAACCCAGAACCTCATGATCAGCAGTCGAGCTTACGACCGTTAGACTAATAAGCAGTCAAAATCAAAACTCAAATAGGTACAAGTTTTTACTTATGTGTTTAATACGTGGTAGAGCCATGCTGCAGCTATATTAGTATAGTTGCAGCACGAATGAGTCGGCTCGACCGGGGAAGGATCACGCTCTCACAGAATACCAGCGTAAAATACCATCTTAACGCTGTTGTGTTTTGTGTGGTAAGTGTAGAGAACCGGAGACCCTTTTTACTGGAAACGAGACATTACGTCTTAGTCCTTACAGGTGACAACGCATCTGCATTTTAGTTCGTAATCGAGGATCGATGTAGATGTCTATGGGCCACAGTAACCACTTACCACCAGGTGGACTGTATGCTCCTTTGTCACCCTAATTCTATAAAAAAAAACTGTAAATCACTCCTCTAAAGTCTAAGATAAAGTAAATCTGCCATAAGCTAAAGACTAAAACAAGCTAAGCGCCATCGCGTACTCTCGGTTGTAAAAAGTGGGAACGACATTGATTATAAAAATTTATACAATAAACGCACTATATATGTGGTGTTGATTAACGCCGCCACTGCTAATCGATGAATAAGCTCATCCACAGACTAATTATAACGGATTTTACAATTCATCCGAACCGTTCAATGTGCGCGAATCACCTGATGCAACGATCTGTGTAGAACCGCCTTAAAGATATCTTAAATTCTTAAATTAAAAAAACTGTAACAAAACAAGCTAATAATATTTAAACGGCTGAAAAGGTTTTCTTTAATTGTAGCTAAGAACACTCGATCAAATCACCTATCAAACAAAAAAGAAACTAAATCTAAATTAGTTCATCCGTTTCGAAGCTATTTTTTTTTGGAGTTTATGGCCTGGTATCTAGACCTTTAGGCCAAGTCTTAAGTATTTTTATTCGGTTTATTGTAATTTCCCCACTCCTTCATAGTATACTGCTTCACAATATGTTGATGCGTCACATTGTGCAGTTCTTGGGAGATTTTGGCGGCAACTTGATCCAGCAGACAGCTGATAGTTGGCGATGGTATCTAAAGGTGCCTATGCAAACAAACAGCTTATCTTGAGAATCCATCACCATCAGAGCACTTGTTTCACTGTTTCCACTAATAGTTCACATGCGTAGACACTTAATACACAAAATCGCAACACTTTTACATATCAAAGTCCACTTCAAACCATTATTTAAACAATAATACAGGAGCAGCAAACCGCCGCCGGTCAATTTCCCGCCAAAACTCCCAAGCTATGATGTACACAGAACACAGAGTAGACAGACACACAGATAAACAGATACATGCGTTAAACATATAACACCCCTCTGTTTACGTCGGAGCTTAAAAAGAATAGTTTTAATTGTATTTAAAAATATATAAAAGAAAACTACACAATTATCACGAGGAAAGAAATATTAGTGACCTCACAAACACAATCATAAGGGTACAAATACGTTTTATTCTACACATATATATTTTCGTAATGTGTCGTCATAAAGAAAATATTTTTGCACTATCATTATACCTATAAAAGCACCACCAACACAGAACATTAATACTCTGTAAAGAGATCACCAATTACTAAACTAGTGATATGCTGAGTCAGGACGACTTTAGTTTAGTACTGACTGATTAAAAACTCACGGTACGGTACTCAAGAAAAATTATTTTTTACCTAATACGTGGTAGAGCCACACTGCAGCTATATTATGGTTATAGCACTATTGGGTCGGCCCGACCCGGGAAGAATCACGCTCTCAGAGAATATCAGCGTGAAAGAGCATCTTAATGCTGCTGTGTTTCGTATGGTGAGAGTAGAAAACCGGAGGCCCCTTTTACTGGAAACGAGGGAGTCTACCTTAGTTCTCAGGGATGACAACGCATCTGCATTTTGATTCTTAATCGAGGATAGACGTAGATGTCTGTTACCATCAGGTGGACTGTGTGCTCGTTTGTTACTCTTATTCTATAAAAAAAAGTAAAAAAAAAATATAAATTCACAGATATGACTCGATTCATAAGATACCAAAATGTGGAATTTCGATATTTAACGAATATTAGTATTAAACACGTTTGGTGTTTTATTAGTAGTACCTCAGTCTAAACTGTGGAAGTACCTACCTATTTGGACTATTGGACAATTCAACTAACGTAACGTGTATTTTTGTTCTGGTAAGCGATTCAAAGTATGTAAGAATGTGTGTCATGTGGTTGTTGTGATATTTAATAATTATTACTTTTAAATGAACATAAGAATTTTGAAACTTTGATAGGAAAACATGAAAAACCGACTCAGCATGTTACTACACGAAACCTAAGAGTAATAATGTTCTGTGCACTAACACTACACTTCATAACTAACACTAAACCTCATATCAAAAAATGCCACACACCGTCACAGTCTATCAATAAGAAATAATATTCCACAGATTAGATAAAAATCACCGAAACATGTAACAGTAATAATAATTGTTAAATAATAAGTGGCTTTAGTTAAGAATGTTAATTAGAAAGTAAATAATTTAGGAGTGAGCAAAGTATAGCAGGGATTTTAACGTATTTATAACGTTTTTACATTTAACGACAAATTTAGTCGCTTGCACGCAATTAATACTTATAATACGATGCTGCCATCTCTTGTCATTTTTTCACATTATAAAATTGCGTAAATTAATCATTAAATATATTTTATCTATATCATTATTGACAATGCTTCTTCAGATAGCTATTCCAATGATAATTTTATTCATTACGATAAATTTACAATCATAATATTGTTGTCTATGTTCATGATTAGTACCGTTTACAAATTAAAAATAGGACACCACAACATCTGCACTATTGTGCCAAATGTATACAAATGTTAAATTTGGTAATAAACTTTTTGACATTAGATTTTTGACATTGGAGTATGTTTATGTTTGTGTCCTCAGCCCTTACCCTATATAATAGCAAACTCTTTGTACTAGTAGCGGCACGAAAATCTAGCGATGGCAGTTACTGCGCATAAGTCGCTCTGATTAGCTCGTGCGTATTGTTCGCACGCGCTGATTGGGTCTCCAGTCGCATTCGTGCAATTCAATTCGTGCGCGTCTCCTCCACGTTTCGTTCAGCGCTAGACTTACGTGCCGCGACTTGTAATATCTTAATATAATTGAGGTAAGAAATTAAAAATTCGCTTGGACCAAATGAATAGACCATTGCACCCATAAAAGAGTACACTGCTAAACAAGAAAAAAATATTTTTTTTATTCGCTTCATGTATGCCTCGTCAACTCTTCACTTCAGGTAGTGGAAGGTGGGAAAGTCGGGTTACATTTACTTCCCAATACGCTGTGCCAATACGAGACCATTCATAAGATCATAACCCAACGGTTTACCGTGTACGATGTAATATGCGGCCTTTTAGTTTATTGTTTCGTTGGAACGAGTAAATCACTGGACAAAGACAAAATTCTCTAGTGCACAAAGGTCAATTTTCAAGTCAGATTGACAACAAAATTATAAGAGAAAAGACTGTGTTACTTGCCTAGTAAAAATG